CGGTGGCATACCTAGCGTCGCTCCCCGAAAAAAAAAGTAACGCCACCGCATCAGAAGTCTGAGAAGGAGGCTACATACACAAACTCGTTGTCTCATATTGGAAACCTTACATGTAGTGCCATGGGGCAGTTATAACGAGTGAAGACAAGTTCTATATAGATGTACATGATAGCGAGTATAACACAGAGTGCGATATAGGTCTTACACTAAACACAGAAATGGTTTGGTTTGTTACAGCTGTACCTTCAAAACTTCGGTGTTACTCATCAGTGACATGATCAAAACGCCATCTACCAACAATGTGTACCATTGCAGTACCTTGGAAGGCCGAATCAAACGAAACGACCGCCTCACGATGTCACACGGGATGAATGTTGTCACGTCCGCACAGTGTTGTATCAAGACGTTTCAGTTGTTGGAAATTCGAATGACGCTGAAGGAAACTTTGTGTGCAGTTCAGAACGTTGTTATTTCGGACTTTTAGTTTAATTTTAATCACTTTTGAATCCGTATTCAAAGTTACCTTCTAGTCTTATACAAGGACCCGGTACGAGTTAGAGGCATCCAATGCATTTCAATGCGGCAAAAAATTCTGGATATGAGGGAATTGTCTGATATTGCTACTTACTGCCATTTCGTAGTACATATTTGTCATCATTTCATACTTTTTGGGGCGTTTGGCATAGCCTTAAAACATGCTGCATGAGGAGTCCATTTATTTTTGGTACCAACCATAAATAGCTAGAACCTACTATGATACGAAACAAGCAGATGTTTTTCGTTGGCAATAACGTTTTGCCTCACAGATAACAGTATGCTGTGGGATAGGGTTGATTCAGCTTATAACAGACTGAGTATGCTGTGGGATAGGGTTGATTCAGCTTATAACAGACTGAGTATGCTGTGGGATAGGGTTGATTCAACTTATAACAGTATGCTGTGGGATAGGGTTGATTCAACTTATAACAGTATGCTGTGGGATAGGGTTGATTCAACTTACTACAATATTAATTACAAAAGAATTGAGTCAAAGATCCAGCTAGTTCTGCCGCCCTGAAGTTGCAGTGGATGCCCATATATTATACCCATGGAACAGACAGCGCATGTTGGAAAATGAAGGAAACAAGCCTCAGGGGGGAAACCAACACTTTCTCCCTCTATGTCACAAGTGATCAGTCATTCCTTGTCAGAGTTAGGTGCAAAACTCGTTAGTTCAGTTCCTCATCGAGGAAAACAGAACGTTTTGTTTGTATAGACGCCGAGGTCGTCTCTATGGCGAGAGAAAACTCAATAATCTGCGAACAAAGAACACCTTCGTGCCGGGATCACGTCTGATTAAACCGGTGTGGTTTTGCGGGGAGTCTATCTACACGTACGTACATACGTAACATTTGAGTCTGAAAATTAGGGACAAAAGATATGTTTTAAGCCTCAAGGCGTGACGAAAGGACACAGAAGTCTAAACGGTGTTTGCTTGGCGCACCGTCGAGAGTCAACAAGCCGGGACTTTCAAGCCAAATTACCGTGAAGTGTACCCAAAGGTTGGCCGCGGATAATTTGGCGGAGACAGCACGTGAAAAATAACGGGCCAGCTTAGCGAACCACTCCGTCAACACAAAAAGGGAAGGACCCGTGGGAGAATCGACAATTAGCACAAATGATCCGTTCCTAAAGAATACAGAAGAGCTATTTCTTCATATACACGAGCAGGACTATGCAGTGGTTGAGAGCCTGACAGCATGTGTGTGTGACAGTGTTTGTTTTCTAGGACGATAGGTTGGTGTGTTGAAGTGTTTGTTCTGGCTGTTTTGTTGGATCAACATCGGTAACTAGGACCACTGGGGTCAAAAGTTGCTCAACTGCCACAGAGAGACCCACAGGAACACAAGTTTAGACCCACTGTACGTCCAAACGACTGTACTGTACCCTCTGAGAGAGATTGGTGACCAAGTGAGAAGAAATACCAACACGGCACCAGGACTATTAAAAGCCGGCGTCCGGTAGCGGAAAGAAGACAACGCTTCCGTCTTTGAATGGAAGGTAAGCCCCCATGCTCGACTGCCCCGCCATGTTTTTCTACGGGCTCTGGTATTTGCCGTGTCCGCCTTTGTGGACTGGGTACTAAGTTAGTAACTGTGTCAGACTCTCTAAAAAAGGAACCACTATATTTTGATTGCCAATGACCAAAAGGTGACCAAAATTTCTTCTCTTACTTACATTCTTAACGTTGATATAGCTGACTCGTTGACGAAATGAGTCTAACATGACATAGCTATTTTACAATGTTTCTCGGGAAAGTAGACTAATTACATTTAATTAGCTTTTGTCTCTGATTAAAGTAATCATCTTCTGTGCTGGTTCGAGATTGGAATGGTCTACGGTGTTCATTGTGTTCTGTCTCGGACCCTGTACATGTGCCTAGATCGATGTTGACATTGTTTCTTCACTAATGTGTTTTTGATAAGGTTCGCGCCTTGTTAACTCTCATATCAGGGAGTTCATAACCTCCTTGCGTACTAAGATAAGGTACTGTAAAAGCATCCAACGAAACTTCAGGGCTGTAAAAATATTTGGGGTGAGGAAATCTGTTTGCAATTGACATTTACTGCCATTTATAAGCACACTTTTTTCTTCATTTCATACATGAAGCGTTTGAAAGTTCTACCTCTACTTCTATACTTCTACTGGACAATGCCCCATTTGGGGTGTAAGGTCCAGGGCCGGTTATGGTGGTGGAAAAAAGTTGACATTCAAAAAACTTATTTTAAAATTCCATTTTTGCTGTCCTGAAATTGCTTTGGCTTCCGGTCGGTGAAACAGACCAGTTCGCATACCTGACATTTTCCTGAGTCACACCAGTCAACATGACTTGGTTACACTAACATTCCTAAGCCAGGTCTAGGGACAAAAGCCGCTGCCACAAATATATAGCCGAATATGGCCTCCCTAACACTGCCCAAACTTCCCACAACCATGGTTAGCAGTAGGTCGGGAGCAAGGTCGGCTGTGTTTGGCTGGTGTTCGGCGATGTCGGCTACTGTTCAGCCGAATGTTTTAAAATGTTTAGAACATTTACTTGTGGACTGGAGGTTCGACTGATTCGGCTGGTGTTAGGGAGTAAGTTAACAGTGTTCGGGTCGTGTTCAGGGGTCAAATTTTACTCAACGTTAACTCAAATTTGATCTGATTCGCATGGAAAGGTAGCCATAGTCTAAATCTTGGTTGGTTGGTGGTTGGGGGGAGGTTCTGAATGTGTGACGGGCATAACCCAATTCTCTCAAACTAAATATTCACGCGGTTCGTTTGTGAAGCCATGTTGTTCTGGTCTGTGGTAAACACAGTTAGGTCAGCATCTGTGTATAATGTTTGAACATAACTGTGCGTAACATTCATAACAGACTAGATTATAACTATATATTCTACAAAAAGCGTTGGAAGCATACACATGTCAGCCAGAAATATTCCAAAAATATTGATTTTGCTGTATTCTTTATCTGAAAATTAGCGTTAAAAGGCCGTGTATATGCACTGTGCGATCTGTTAATGACCTGTTTTTGTATGCTCGGGATCTATAATACATGAACCCGCATGGCGTGTCATCGATAGCCGGGTACAAAATCTGTGGTCTGTGATGACTCACGATCAACGGTCAGAAACAAGAAAAGACAGCGGTCGATATGTGGACTATTAGACGACATGGTTTAACCATAAATCACATTGTTAATTGCAATAAAAATGAAAAGGATTGCAAGTCTTCAAATCCTTTGTTTTCACATTCATATATTTAGCATAGATAGAGTTATGTCTACTATGGCTACTGCAAAGTCTAGGTTAAACATCGTTCTCTGACTTACATTGTGTCCTCTTATCTTGTATCTATTCTTAGATGCTCTTTGCTGTGATACCTTTTGAAGACCGAGGAAGTTCCCAAACGACTGCAACACAACACAACGTCACCACTTCGAACTTTGAGATGTCATCCACACTTTCCGCCGACGTCACATCACAAACTGATGACGCCATCAATTCCAGCGTTCCGACATTTTCTAATGTTGTCAATACAACAACGACATCACCGGGGCAACCTGGAACTGAGCCTTTACAGGAATTTCCTGTCGTATTAGCTTTTGTAATTATTATGGTCGCCATAATCATACTGTCCGTTGCCATCAGCTACAGTTGTAACAAACTTGCAGCGTGCATCCACGAGCGCGAAGTGCTCCGCAAGGTGGCGCCCGTGCTCAAACCCGCCATAGCCAACAGCATGCTGCCAGCGAAACCAAAGACCCGGGCGGGCTTAAACTGGAGAAAGGGGGTCAACAAGACAAAGATACAGATCCAGCCAGCTCAGAACTCACAAACTCAAGAAGAAACTCCGGAATCGAGCAACACGAGGAGTAGAAAAGACAGTTTAGCCTACTTGAAGCCTCCTTCGGACGATGTTAACCATCCAGGGCGTATTAGGCTCCCTCCAATAAAAACAGAAAGACAAGATGCTACAATATCAAAAGAAACTACGCCGGATGTGAGAGAAAATGGACACAAAGAACTCATATTTCCCAACAAGACAAATGAAAATGGATTGACTTGTACGTACCCGGCACAAGTTTATAGAGAAAGATTTGAATGTGAGCGGACCGAACTAATTTGAACATGGGGGAGTTCAATACGTGCTGGGTTTTTTTTTCACAATCTTTCCACGAAAAGGCCGTAGCATTCACTGAGTGAATGTTCATTATCAATTGTAAACAAAGCTATTGTGATGTAGATCATGAATCAATGGTCGAAGATATTTTCATGGCAAATATTGCTGCTGAAAAAAATGAAATTAATGTGTGTGATCAAATTGGTAATTGTTGCATATTAAAATCGAACTGATATTTTCAGTGGTATGAATATGAGATTATTCATTGTCTCTGGTTGCTTTTGTCTGTTATCAATGGTAACATATCCAAGAAGATATTCAAACACAAATGATGACAAAGTCTGCCATATTATGGCTATTTTATTTCATTAATCTATCATCTTTAACATTTCTTAAACCTCGACGAAAGAGCACTACGGCAACGTCAAAGGGTCGCCTTCATACTCTATTGAACGTATTCAATCAGTTCAGTTCGCAGTACAAAAAGAAAGTATTGCTCATTTCATAGTCTACTTTCTACGTACATGTACACCCTTCAAAAAGGACTCAGGAGTTATCTTTTAATACCATTTACTGATTATGGAAATGATGGATATTTTGTGTTACTTCTTGAACGTTTTCTGTATCTATATAGCCGGTATAACCACCCTTCGCCGAAAAACACCAGCTAAAGAAAGTGTGGATTATCAATCCATTGTGGAACTGTGACCATACAGTATACAGTACAATATTACTGGCACGTGTTGTTATGTGTAGTTAATCTTTTCAGGCTTGGTGTTGATTTTCAGGATTTAATACTCCTCGTCCAGGTCTTCCTCCCCCTCACCATCCATGGAGTCTGTTGCCACCTCTTCGTAATCCTTCTCCAGAGCTGCCAGATCCTCTCGGGCTTCGCTGAACTCTCCCTCCTCCATACCCTCCCCCACGTACCTGGGGAGCAGAAATGAACCGTCCCGATTAGAAAATATTGTCTCTCTTTGTCAACCTCCATGCAGATTCTAGGGTGGCAAAATACAGTACCAAATTGGCCAGGCAGTATCCATTTGCCAGAGAGAGTCCATTACGCCACCCAAGGTTGGCCCCTCTCTGGCAAATGGATACTGCCTGGCGAATTTGATGCTGTCCTTTGCCACCCTAGGATCTGCTTGACATGTTATAAAGACAATTTATTACACCAGTATTTGTCCTGGACTTTTCGGCAATAGCATACAAAATTTCTGACCTTACAATGTCCTGATCACGATACAAAACCGGAAGCTCCATTCAGTACCATAACAAGCCGCTAGAGAGTTCAAAATCTAATCATTTTGAGATCTCATCAAAACCTTTCCACCTACCAAGTTTTATGCTAGTTTAACACATAACTTACAAGAGCAAATAATGCAAAAAAAGTACGCGAGAAAAAGAATGGTCTTACTCACCAGTGTACAAAGGCACGCTTGGCGTACATCAGGTCAAACTTGTGGTCTAGCCTGGCCCAGGCCTCGGCGATAGCTGTGGTGTTACTCAGCATACACACGGCCCGGGGCACCTTGGCCAGGTCTCCGCCAGGCACGGCCGTGGGGGGCTGGTAGTTGATGCCGACCTTGAAGCCAGTAGGACACCAGTCTACGAACTGTAGGATTCAGAGGGAATACTTTCGTCTCATAGAATTTTATACACTTTGTCCAATAGATGAATTTCATCTTTCTAGGAAGACAATCATTACTGTGTATGAATAGATAAATGTATCAAAGAATGTTTTGGCATTACAACTAAAAGTATACGTGAAACTTTAAACACAACATGTTGATTTCTCCATTTACTTGTAGGTATATGATTAATTTGTATCTATTTGTTTGTATTATCATAAAAATTCATCTGTGTTGGTAGTTATGTTTAAAGTTACAACTTTTGGTTCAACACAAAAAATTCTCTCACCTAGAGCTTTCGACCAGTATTTGTTTGTACGTTTAACTGTAGTAGACTATAGGAAAGTCGCCGTATTTCTGTTGCGTCAATAAAGATTGTTTGTTGTTTGTATAGAATGTACATCTTAGCCGTGAAGTATTCTGACACATATTTGCTATAACATATTTAAGGTTTGCCGTAATGTAGTGCAATGAAGGAGGCTGTAGTACCTGAATGGTCCGCTTGGTCTTGATGGTGGCGATGGCGGCGTTAACGTCCTTGGGCACCACGTCACCACGGTACAGCATACAGCAGGCCATGTACTTACCGTGACGGGGGTCACATTTCACCTGGCGATAGGAGGGAGATAACTCATCAGGTATCATGAGGCGATAAATGTGTTTAATAATGTTGATTTTATGTGTTATTGTGTAGAAGTTGAAGTTAGTTTGTCTCCGTTACTTTAATTTTGTTATTTGCAATTAGCCTTCGGGCAGGAATTTGCAATAAACTTATCCATTAAGTGCAGCAAAAAAAATCGCCAATATTGTGATTTAGATGAAATTGAGGATGTCATTCTCTTGTGACTGTACTTCAGCCATGAGATAGATATCCTCTTTAATTGTATACGAGATAAATTTACCAGTTTTCGACATTTAGATAGAACAGAAACATTAGTATTCCTCGTGGAACTAGACAAACTATGTATTATAAGCTCCATCTGTTCGTATACATCTATGCCTTGCAAGCGAAAAGTTTAACCTGCTGTACATAGTACTTCACAGTACTCTATCATTTTTTCCTGCTTTATCCATAACATGTATTCAGCTTTTAAGTGCATAAACTTACAATAAATTAATTCCATTCATTAACTCAGAAACATCCGACTACGGACAATCGAAACATTGCTATATAATCCTTCTATTTCCCGCAGCTAAATTTGTATCAGTTTCATGTTATGGTTACAAGCAAATGTGCGTACTAAATACCCTTACCATCTGGTTGGTGGGTTCGAAGCAGGCGTTGGTGATATCAGACACGCTCAGCGTCTCGTGGTAGGCCTTCTCCGCGGAGATGATGGGAGCGTACGTCACCAGCGGGAAGTGGATCCGCGGGTACGGCACCAGGTTGGTCTGGAACTCCGTCAGGTCCACGTTCAGTGCGCCGTCGAACCGCAAGGAGGCGGTGATGGACGACACGATCTGGCCGATCAGGCGGTTCAGGTTGACGTAGGTCGGGCGCTCGATGTCCAGGTTCCGGCGGCAGATGTCGTAGATGGCCTCGTTGTCGACCATGAAGGCGCAGTCGGAGTGCTCCAGGGTGGTGTGGGTGGTCAGGATGGAGTTGTAGGGTTCTACCACTGCCGTGGACACCTGGGGGAGGGGGATGAGATGTAAATGTTTTTCTTATGTTGAGCTTAGCATCCAAAATTATGTATAACATACGTAAATAATTTCATCGGGTCGGTGAATGATGGAATAGCAAATTCCTTTTTCCATAACTACGTGTTCAACAAGAGCCGAAGTTTTGATGATTGTCATCTCCATCATGGCAATTACATGTTTCGAGCCATGATTGCAGTGACACATAATTGCCCTGATGAAGATGACAGACGGTCACCGAACGTCGGCTCTTGTTAAACACGTAGTTATGAATATAGAAATTTGCTGTTCAATCATGTATAACATTTTCATACAAATTGTACGCCGGGAAAAGATGACGTAGAACATATTTTCGTACAACTTGTATGCTGTGAAAAAGTGAAATTGAACATATTTTCGTACAAATTGTATTCTGACTAAAAGACATGGACAAATACTGTACACGACAGCACAATATCGGTTGCATTATATTATTCTGTTGCCGTACACATATATTTCCACGTACCTGTGGTGCTGGATAGACGGCGAACTCCAGTTTGGACTTCTTGCCGTAGTCCACGGACAGACGCTCCATGAGAAGCGAGGTGAACCCTGACCCAGTCCCGCCGCCGAAGCTGTGGAACACCAGGAACCCCTGCAGGCCTGTGCACTGATCCGCCTGGACAGGAGTTCACAATTAAGGGTTAATGACCCGCCCCGAGGTGAATATGGTGTGATAAAGCATTGTCAGTTGCTATAACCACCGAATGAAGCCACCGAGTGAGCGCAGCGAATCTGTTAATAATCGTTATCAGATTAGATGTAGATCAGGCCAGGAGTCCTCTTCTACACTACAACACATTTTCCGTGAGCCAAACTACTATATTATGTAAACTATTTATTCTGTGTCACTACGACAGTTTTGTCCTAAGAGGCTAAATGGCCTACCCAACAATACCGAATTCTTCCCAACCATTGTGTCAAATTTGACTCAAATCCAACTTCGATTCGTATCGAAAGGTAGCCGTGGCCTAAATCTGGTCAGACTGCCCTCAAACTTCAGCCAACCTTGGTTGGTTGGTAGTACTATAGTTGGGGAGAGGTTCTGCATGTGTGACAGGCCTGGGGGTCTAACAGCATAATTTTTGGTCACAGCTAAGTTACTCTTGATTGTGTATCAAATTTTGCCCTTGGTTGCATTATGGTTAATTTGGGCTGGAAAGTAAGGCTGGTTATTGTAGATTAGCTTGTGGAGGAAAGTCAACTTAACATATTTTCCTCACCAGTTTGCGAATCCGCTCCACCACCACATCCACGATCTCCTTGCCGATGGTGTAGTGGCCGCGCGCGTAGTTGTTCGCCGCGTCCTCCTTACCGGAGATGAGCTGCTCGGGGTGGAAGAGTGCACGGTACTGCCCCGTCCTCGTCTCGTCTGGAAAGAAAAAACGATAGAATGAATGTATGAACAAGAAAGGTAATATTTGCAAAGTAAATACGTAATATATACATTCGTGCGGTTTAGCCTGCATGACAAACTACAGCTCTATTTATTCTTACTCAAACACATCCATCTATATGTTCACAAGCCCCTCCAACTCTGTCCTGCTACTTGCTACATAAGGTAATTCAACACCACAAGGTGTCTGCTACAGCACCTATTACCATGGTGACAGACGTCTGGTCCAGGTCATTGACCTTATTTGTTTGAGATGGAAGAAGACGAAACGGAGCAAAACCATAAACGGAAACATAATAACAGTACGAGAATGAAACAAGGAGTACTAGAGGAAGAGGGGGATGACGCAGCTACTAGGCTATGATAGTGTAAACTTCAGAAATTTAGATATAAGAGCCTAAAGTAAAATCTGTGAGTGTAATATTTTAAATTTATGTTACGCAGATGCAGACACGTCATGTTTCTTACCTATAACCGTGGGTTCGAGATCGACGAAGACCGCCCTGGGCACGTGTTTGCCGGCGTCGGTCTCGCTAAAGAAGGTGCTGAAGGAGTCGTCTCCGCTGAAGTTGGGCGTCTTGTGGTCCGCCTCCATGGTCCCGTCCTTCTGGATACCATGTTCCAGACAGTACAGCTCCCAGCATGCATTGCCGATCTGCACACCAGCCTGCCCCACGTGGATAGAGATACACTCACGCTGTGGGAGGGAAAAACAAGATGGCGGCAACTCAGTCGGGTTAAGGATACATGAAAATACTTTGTCTTTTTCTATCATTTCAATATAATGTACTGCTAATATTTTATCATTTAGATACTTATATATTAGATGATACAGTTTGGTCAAAGAACTCAAAGCTCAGACTCTACATGGTGCTTGACTGTAATAATGAAACACGAATATAACTCTGAAACTTCCATGTGTAAGCATCCAATATGGCGGCCAATACTCATGACGTCATTGTCACGTGAGTTCAAAGACCGTTCATTCAAACAGATGATACTGAACACATACGATTGACACGAATGGTAGGCGGTAACAACGGTACAAAACATGTAACGTTACATTGTTTTAGGGGCTACAGAAATGACGAAACAACATGGCGGCAGTACACTGAAACACAAGTACTTGTAATACTACGTATGTACTGTCACACTTTCATCTTACCACCGATTATCGATATTTTGGACGTGACGTTTTTACAAAACTAAAGGGTTTAGCTGCACACACAAAAGCCGAAGACATGGCGAAGCATACTAATACAACCAGTCTTGAAGCTACTGCATGTAATCGTTGAGTACCCTTCTCCATACATGGTGAGGCGTTTATCAAGTACACATAGACATGACGTCTAGCCGGCCGTCCCAAGGACACTGTCTGATCTTGAGATTGTGTTTTTAAGATCCGAATTTCTTCATTAGAATCACACCATTTCAACCAATTGTTCATTGTGATTTCAAAATAAGACATCTGGTCACATATTACAGGAAAAATGGCACCAAAATGTTGACTTTTCTTGAATAGTAGTATTAAATAATGAAATAATCCTTCAGACATGGGTTATCCCAATACCGTGATAGAGTACCGCTTTAGATAAAACATTCAACCAAATAGGTACAATCTAACTCATCGTGACCCCGCCCCCTAGTACGAGTGACACATCCGTAAACAAATACCATGATTGGAAAATACCTGCGAAGCCGGTCCGATTTTCCCCCTGCTCATGCCGATTCCCTATGCTGGCTATTACGGCATCACATGTAATCCTGGCCGGGTTTCAACTCACGCCGTCCCGCCCTAGTATTAAACCCCCGGATCAGATGTCCTAACTGGCATGTGCGTCTGTGCCCGGGCCCTATTTAAGGAAGCCGGGCTGCGCATATTTGTCCACCATCCGTCGGGAGGGTCTACCGCGTCACGCTGTACAATTTTACATGGCCCCAACTTCATGATCAAACAACACGCATACTAGTACATGTACATGCGTTTTTGAACATCTTACATATTCCATAGCGACTTTACTGAAATATGGAATTTTCACATATACAAACGCCACGTTACAATGAATTTTATTGATAACTGTGCGTCTGTTTTATTAGAATTCAAAGAAGGAAGCTACAGTCGTAATTGCCCCCCTCCCCCTTTCGTATGCTACCGACCAAGACAGACCGTCTCTCAGTTCAGTACGTGGCCTTTACCGATCAGCTATTAAATGGGACCCGGACAGGGTAAACTCAATAGGGAGGTGTGGAATTCACAACCCGAGGCTGAACCCAAAACGGTGAATGTAGAGCCCGTATCCCATGGATGGAATGACTGTCCGTCTGTCAGGTTCAATATGACACATTCACTGATACACGACACAACTACACCAGTGGTATTTTCCAAACTAATATCATCTTTCAGAAAAACATCTAAATGTGATGCCATGAGTAATCGTTGTTCAATCTTTGACCGGAATATGGTGAAATACTCATCCATGACTTCTCAGATTCCCCCCACCCTGCCTCTCCCATATAGTCTGCTATGCTATACGTATGTTTGATATAACTACGCCTATTTACGTTTAACATGTACGTACAGTTTATCACAATTGCATGGCAGACGGCTTAATGCTTACTGTGGCTTAGATAGGGTAGATCGTCCGTACCGCAATGCGGTAGAAAAACCACGGGGTCCCGGGAGACACACCCGCGAACAACCCCCGAATTTTGACAAGTCGCCCGGGGGTATATGACACGTCTATCATGTTACCGACCGAAACGTTAACATTATTTACTCACACACATCTCAATCATCTCAACCATCCCCTCACGTCTACTTACCATTTTTCGTAGTGGTGGGTTTTGGCACTTAAAGAGATTCGGGTGGACAGACGAAGTGGGTAACCACGGACGTGTCTTCTGGAGATGTGCGACGTATCTCTTGAAGCACTGCAAATGGATATGTCGCAAACAGCCGGCTCCTATTTATAGATACGTACGCCCCTGCCGGCCGGCATCGATGGCGTAACGCGCGCTATTTTTGAGGCGGCTGGTGCAGGGGGAGGGGGAGGGTTGGCTTCTGGAGCTAGCTAGACGGTCGATGACAGATGTGTGACGAGCTCTGACGGGATACGCTGTGTGCCGAACCCACTCCTGTGATCTCCCGCAGTAGGCACGTCCAGTGCGAATCAATCCTCCCAAATCCATGGAAACGGCCCAGCACAGCTGCTGCAGTAAAACTCGCACAGACACGTACTGACCGTTTCCCTACACTATATTATAGTACATATTAAAGGCATCCAATATTTCTTCAAGGCAGCAAAACAGACAATATTCTAGATGAAGAATTCTGTCTGATAATGATATTGACATTGACATTTAAGGCCATTTCTTTGCACATTTTTTTACAATATTTCATACCTGAATCGTTTGAAGTACAGCCCAAAAACAAGCTACGTGAGGGGTCCCTATATTTTTTGGTGCCACCAATAAATAGCTAGAACCAGCCTATGGTACGAAACAAGCAACCGTTTTTCGTGAGCGATATCACAGATATCAGTAAGCTATGGGATAGGATTGATTCAACTTACTACATTAAAAGAATGACCAGAAAATGGATTTTGAAAAACTGCCCTGAAATCGCATTGCCTTTAATAAAAGTGGTACACAGACACAGCAATTCTGGCCACAGTCTGATAAAAGACCGGAAGAATGTTATCAAGATGTTAGCTAGTTGTAAGGACAGCGCCCTGAAAGCGATTAGTAAACGTATCTTATAATACGGCGGTTTGATAAGAGATCTAGAAAACGCGAAGCTTGCATTCTGAACATATCTCACCTCCCAGCGCCACGGAAACATTCCAACCACACATATCTGAGGTTTCATCCGGATCAAATACTTCAAATGATAATTAGGAATGTCAACAATAAGTTTCATATGGTTCTACTATCAACTTTCATGTCATATCTGGAACTATATGGATCACTAGACCATGTTGATTTGACTATATACTCGTAGATGGCATCCTCTGGGAACCCCAAAACTGATGCGAGCGTACGAATAAAAAAAAGTTTGAAAAAAAAAGACTTGCTTTCATTATGAAATCTACGTGGCCATGAAGGTTGAACAAATTACATAAAGTACAGTATGGCGAATAATCTACTCTTCAAATTCATTTCTTGACATTTTCGTCGTTTTCATTTGATTTTGCATTCTACGACAATGGCATCGTTTTCCAATATTTTTCTTTACAACTTACGGTATATATTTGCCCATTTTGCAACTGTTTTGTACGATTTATAGTATCATATTTTTTGAAACGTCTGAAAATTCATGCGCGCGCGGATGTCATCCATATAATCAAATCAACATGGTCTTACAATGGTTAAAATACTGAATTTGGGAAGATGATGACCAAATGCATGAGGTACAGAAACGCATTTCTATAGCATGTTGTGGCCGGCATAGCGCTCTTAATACAAAATCAACATTTCTGACATCGGCCATGTATAGAGAAATGTGAACTATTCCTTGATGCGAGATGAAAGATACGACAGCTGTCACCTACATGTGTGTGATGAGTTATCGACTTTTGTAAATAACTGCGCATCCGAACAATCGACCGTGTCGCGGAAATAACGCCGAAGTCGTGTAGTCTGCAAAAATCGATAAAAATCTTTGGATACAATCAATGAATCTCGTGTCATCTTTGGAAAGGTCGAAAGAAGAGCAACCAATAGAAAAGATCAACGTATGAAATATGAAGCCCAAACGCAAAGTAAAGCAAGAATAGCTAGGTAGAAACAACAAAATAAATACAGAAATATATGTCTACATGTAGTAAATGTTTCATTACAAATGTTGCTTTATGTGTTATTCTGTCGTTTTCCTTGTGGACAGAAAACTGACGACCCATAGGGCTTCATACAGGCAGACGTCAGGGTGGGTATATAAAACAAGTTAATGACCAACTGTACACGCCGACTAGCGGTTATAAGTAGAAATGCACATAGAGCTCGCTATTTTGCTCCAGTGTTCATGTGCGATTCATGATCAAGTTAACAAGGTGACCAATCATTTCAGTCACACACCGTTCATGCCAATAAACCAACTTGTATGTTTGCACAATGCTAGATGTTGTATGTAGAATTGTATGGTTCCATGCCAATTGTCAAAATTAATTTCTGACCAATATTTGCTAAAATGATATAAAATGTCAAGTGAAAGTATACTCTAAAATTTATTTGAGCTTATAGAACACCCCGATCGCCTATGGCATGACAATCAATGCCAACGACCAAAAACGAAATATTTAGTGTACGCAACGCAATATTCAAGGATGCTGTGAGCAAAATTCGGTGCATTTGTCATGACCATGTCCCTCTGCACTCCGTCATGTGTAACATTGAACGATGAGGATATCACGGCAAATTGGTTTTCTGTAACCCCTTTGGCACAGCCGCAAGTCTACAAGCATTAGAAGCTCTAGCCATGGACATTATTGACCATGGTAAAACCCTTATTGATAACAGCCCTACGGCTTCGGCTATGACTGAACAGCCCTATGTACGGGAATGACAGGCTCCTCCACGTAAAGTCACATCTTTAAGCTGACCAAGGTCCGTTGCAGAGTTCTTACCACCGGGTCCACTTCTCTTCTGCGCAGTGCATCAGTCTAGCTTGCGATTATACAATCTACCATACGTTAGGTGATGTAAAGAAAACTATTTTAATCAACCCAGCATTCAAAGTTGAAAAAAAATCAGTTCCTTATATATAATTACTTACGTTGGCAATTATGTGATTCTGTCTCATAAACCAAGTAACAAATAACAGAAGAGCCAGTAGTATACTAAGTACTTTTTCCAAGACAAAAAGTGAAATTTCTGCAACAACTCATAGTACTAGTAATAGTAGCTAGACCTCTGCTTAAGTACATTTCAACATAATCATTATGCACCTTTTTGCTAAATATCATGGAAAGAAATGGAACGATGTCTTAAATAGCTAATTTGTAGAAACAGCGATAACGCCATCATGCCATCACGAAAATTCAAATAATGTATAATTTTACAACAACTTACTTGATATCCTCAAAATATTAGTCTACCTGTGAACTAAACAGTTATTTTCAAGACAGTCAAAAAGTCTACAGACACCCTTCTATACTACATTAGGCGCACGAGAAAAAGAACAATAACAGATGTCAGCCACTGATCGTTCATTGACGAGAAACTGTGTGTAACTAGAGTTCCAAGAATTCATATCTTCGCCAAACTCTTACAACTGACAACCTACAGATGTTTGTCATTGATTATGCAATAAAGTCTCTGAAAAGTCTACATCTTGCAATTTAACATTTTAAGACGACGTAACTACACTTTTAAGTGTAGTTTCGTCGTCTTAACATATTAAAATATTATTAAAATACACTGGAGGGTACGGTTGTATTTTGATTACAGATATCAACAGTGTTTTTATACCACAGTAAAAAAGAAGTGCATAGAGGGCCGACTATATCCTAAAGTCTAAAACAGTTTTAAACGGTTCGTCATGAGGGCCTGCATGCCCTTTTTCGTAAGGCGTAATCAGGCTTTTTAAGTCCTCGTACTTCGTAGGCAGCCGTCCAAAATCAACGTAATTCTTAATCAGTACATTAGCCGTAACACATGGTCGTTTTCATTCATAAGCAGTTACCTTTCTGCAACGTATAACGTAATCCATTAAGTACTCCATGATTTAATACAATGATATAATAAAAATCTGAGAATTTAACGTAATTAATTCGTAATCGGGGGTGAAAATTTTGCGTAATTCGTAATCACTAGCACCCCCCCCCCTCCCATGCTGGTCCTCCGTCATGTTCACTCCTCCATTGGTGCATGTTTGAACATAAAAGAAACGCACATCATTGTCTCACACCAGGAAAGTTTCAGCAGGAGGTAGAATGCAGTAATATATCCGGGTTGACGGAAGTCCATGAGAACACCTTGGCGCTGCCGTAGACAGAGTTCCCACAGGACGACCCGGGGGAAGACAAAGGCACCACGTCTATCACCGTCTGATTCCTCCCTCCAGGCGGGGACGACCTGGTCAGGATATAGACGTTATCATTCTTGTACATGTCCATATCTGACGGCGAGTCCTCCTCATCAGGATACCCCCTCCTGTCCTCAACTCCTTCCGCCGAGTCGAAGTAAGAGTCTTCGGTTTCTTGAGGCAGGATCCTAGCCCGCCTTTTTCTGTCATCCAAGTGACGTGCGAGTTTGTTACAGGCACTACTGACTCCTACACTGGCCATCACGATCACAAACATCAGGATAAAGAACAGCAGGACGACTTCGATCTCAGTCTGACCGTGCCCGGTACTCTTCGAGGTCGTCACGTTTTGGTAAGAACCACTGGTCCTGTCGACCTCATCGATGATGGTAAACGTCATGTTTACGTCATCGCCAGATGTGTTACGATTCGCTATTGCGTCATCGCCAGAGTACATGACGTCAGATGTGTTACGCTTGGCTATTGGTCGATGGGCGTGGTCGATAGATTTGATGTCTGCTCCAAATACCTTAAACACACGGAGAAAGGACATTGCATGAGTATGTAGATAAAGATCACAACATTTATTATATAAATATATATATGAAATAAATAAACTTGAAACTTGACTTGATTTAATTCATCCTGAAAATACTCATAAAACTAGAAAGGCCAATATTTGCTTTGGAGCAAATACAGCGATGGGTTCACCACATTTTACCACATGGCAGGGAAAGAATGAGAAACACAAGGGAAAACAATGATTTACAGTAATTACATTGATATAACTATAATATGAAGTAACATACAACTAAAACAACAGTTGGATAGCTATTCCCTACTTTATTGGTTAGGATTTTTAATTGCATAATGCAAACTGTTGATTTTCAAAATAAAATAAAAAAACGTTCATGCCCCGCATTCCAATGCTGGAGCAGAAAAGCTTGAAATACCTACCAAAACACTTGAATACAGACATACTGTCAGTATGGAAATGCTCTGTGCAGGTGTTAATCAAGTTAAATCCCAACAGCCAATCAGCAAGAAATGCTCTGTGCAGGTGGAAATGCTCTGTGCAGGTGTTAATCAAGTTAAATCCCAACAGCCAATCAGCAAGAAGTATAGAGGAAAGCTGCATGCCTATTGGTTGATGCCCTGCATTCCATTGTGATGACTCATGCCCAGACGTGGTAAACACGGCACACTAACACAGTAATACATTTGCTATAACACAGCCAAAAAACTCAAATAAAACCATTCTAAAAGCCCGTATCACAAAAATTAAAAAACGCCTAGGGGTATTTGCCCACTGTACCTCCATACCAAATTTCAGGACCTTAGGCCCTAAAATGAAGAAGCTGAATCCATTTAAAGATATGGCAGGAGGAGGAGAAGGAGAAACATCAGAAAAAGCAATATGGGTTCACCACCACTTCGTGGTGTGGTGAACCCATAAATATAAATATATCATGAAATTTAAAAAAATCATCACACTATCTGGACCTCAATAATAAATGAAATACGACACACCCACCGTGAGCTACAGCTGCGAACACAAAAACACGATCAAAAACAGAACCCTTCCGCGGAAGGATATCTCCTTCCCCGGAGGTAAAAAAAATCTTCTATAAGTACAGTACAATCCTAGCAAAATGTTGCCTTGACAGCAAACATATGTCATGATGCCCCGAGGCTTCCGCCACAAGAATGTCTGGACCTTAGTGTTCTTCGATTTTTTTTTTGCTCAATTCCATACATGCTATCTATCATTGATAGACAGTCAGAAACGTGCATTATTATAGATTTACATGGTACCATCCAATGACATAGCCACAAGTCCTCAGGCAATGTCTGGAATAAACTGAGACCAATTGCAATGCATGAGATGTATAGGAAACCTCTTAACCATGCAAGGTCCATCGACCGCCGCTTAAGTCTTTTTCATTCATCAACCAAGTCAGCGGTTTGGTTTGAAGAGATATGACTTTATATACGACACGGTGTAAGACGCTGGTCCAGTCAATTTCCGGTTCTTAAACCCGGGGAGGTTTTAAGTACCATCCCCAGTCACACTACTTCAAAGGCGGCTAACGAATGGGGCAATCACGGTGGACTATACTGTCCGTAGCACGGGCCATTTGTTATAAGAACCAACGTACGGAATGTCAGTGGGTTGAAAACACTTATCACTAGAACTGAAAGCTTCCATGCTTTAAGTTTATAGTACATTTGGAATCAGTCAAAGAGATGGTGACATTGTAATGACCTTCACCACAATTAGCGTGTTCATACATGACACTATAGCTAGAGGGGCATACGTACTTTCAATCAAATTTAGAAGGCAACAAAACCGAAGTCTACAGATAAAATAGTGTGGGCTATTTATTTCTTAACTCCTTGAAAGTAATTTGTATTCCGTTTGTAACCTCTGGAATGTCTAGAATATTGATGTACATTGACTGCTTATACCCTTACAAATTAAAACAGAGTTTGGGCAAAATTCTCTCATTAATGGTTTATCTGGACCGTACTATTGCTTAGGAATTTAGGATAATATCGATTTCAGAAAAAATTCAGTGAGTGTAGTAGGCTATTCATTTTATTACAGCAGTAAATGGTTGCGTAGAGTTAACATATTGTAATGCTAGGGAGTTTTTGGAACTGCATTGGAATTAAGTTGACGCTAAACCATTTCTACCTTTCATCAAGTCGCCTGACTTGATTATTTTGCATTACGTATTGACGGTACCATACGATTACATCACAGTGTAAAATGCATTGCCTGATATTTTGGTCACAATCCTACCATAATCTGATCTAACACATGCTCGCCTTTGCAACATCTTCAATATTTACCTCCACGGTGCCCAATAAAATCCATTACATGCCCTTACATCAACCCAACATGATGTAACACCTTTGGCGTAACACATAGGGGCTGTCTGGACTTTGTAAAATGCATTACGGAAGCATATAGACCCTAAGGTACGCCATGTATCATATTGGTCCAGGGAATATGAGGATATACTCCGAAATAGAAACTGTATGAAGGGCACTGAGTTATAACCGTAAAAATACCCAGATGTATGTACCTGTCTCTATGTAATTTGTCTATTTTAAAACCAAGATGTACTTGATATACCTGTCCGTATGAAATTTGTCTATTTGAAAAAGAACATTTTTGGGGGAATATATATTGTCAGTATAGCTTAAATTTCGTTAATTACGCAACATGCATATAATATATATCTGAGTAATTAAATCCAATGCAAGCAAGGGAGGTAAAACTGGATCTTCTAAGTCTATTTACTTGTCATTCTTTTAATACAGTAGTAAGATTTTCCTATGTTATAAGATATTGATATCTGTCAGACAAAAATGCGATGTCGTCGATGGAAAACGATTGCTTGTTTTGTATCGTAGGCTGGTTCTAGCTATTGGTTTTTGTATGTAAAGAAAAAAAAAGATGTTAAATGTATTAGTATACAGCATATTCTCAGTATGAATCATATCAGTTTTTGCTGACATTATACTTATTTCATTTCATATGGTGCACCCGAAATATTTTTGTGCACCCAATTTGTTAGGTTGGGTGCACCAGTGTACCTATTCCAAAAATTAATTTCGATTCCTGGCATTGAATGCCTTTAACGACTGGAAATACGATAGAATTACATACGATAAGGCTCATAAGAAGCACTCAAACCCTGAACACCCCCTTCATCATGACCATAATGACATAATCTTCAAGTTTCCCAATGGACGACTTGAACTTTCTAAACTACGTACAATTACTTACTTCCTCCGGTACCTACTCTATCACGTACACCCTCAGGGAAAAAATCCATTTACTGGATAAAGATCACCAAAAGGTTAGACGCTGTGTTATTACTTGTGAATGCCATATGGACTTTGGTTGGCCATGCAAGGTATACATCTACTATCTAATACCTAAGGCAAAGGAATTGTTTTACGAGATTTGAATGTCGTATTTCTCTTTTTTTACTGCGTAGTATGCTATGGTATAGTGGAGAGTATTGCTTGAAGAATAATCGGCTACTTACGTTTACTGCTGTTAAAACCAGCTATCAAGTTTTGGATTTTTGGCATTAAATCATGTAGTCTTGATTCTTCTTAAGGAAATATATGTAATGTAAGGTGAAATACCTGAAATTATGGGAATAGAAAGGTAACATTTGCTAAGCAGATGATAATATTTCCCTTCAAATGGTCTAGCCTATCAAACTACAGCTCTGGTTGTTGTTATTCAAACACATTCATATAATAATGTATGGTGAGCAGCCCTCCAGCTCTGTCCTGTTAATGTACATATAATCCAACACCACAGGGTGTCTGCTCCAGCACCAGTTACCATGGTGACAGACGTCTGGCCCAGGTCATTGACTTTTGTTGTCCGGAACGAAAGAAGAAGAAGACGAAGATAAAGAGCAGAGTAAACTTCTGCGAAAGTAAACACAATGACCTGGAAGGATCGAGAAACATCCCTGGGTATTGAGTTGGTACAAACATGTGACTCATGTCATCCTTCTAGAAACTGGGTTGAGATAATTACTGTGAGAGGAAAGGGACTTCAGGGGATTGGTTATGCGTGGAATCAATGGTAAATTCCGACTCCTTTGGTCCCAATAATCAAATAACAAGGCATCCACAAAGACGGAATAAAGATCAATTTTTAATTTTCTTGTGGAGGAGTAGCTAATATCTTATTTTTGATTGAATTTTGTTGAAATCCTGGGGGCTTACACAGTACACGCACCCCCATTGTAACCTTTGAGTCAGCTTCTTGAAACTAGGTTATGTAACTTCGTGATGGCGGTCGATTTTTATCGTTTGATATCTCCCTGACACTTTATCTTGTCGTCCTCTTTCTGCCAAGATGGTAGAATAGTGTTGTAAATTACTGTTATGATTTCAAAGGGTCGGAATGGATCAATTTCATAAATTATCGAAGCGAAAAATCAAGTCGAAAATTTAGGACAGAGAACACTCTCCTTTTCCCATGATCCTCTGCGTGGTTTGGACAGGTGTCAAATGCCCCCCTCCCTACATCAGAAGAACTCAAAACTTTATTATGACCCTTCTGGATATACAGATGAAGTCGCATACCTGTGTCTTACTATTCTAACTGGAATTCGCGAGAGACAATGTCCAAAGTTTGCTAGATCACTTCTCTACTCTGAATTTGAACAGGGCTACGTACGGAATCATATCTACCCTATCAGGTCGAAGTACCAGAAATCTCAACATCGCGAAACCTACATGTATAACCATTCTCCGATACCATATCTGACACGTTTGTTAGATGGTTAATAGTATTCTGTGCCATATATGTCGATTTTAACAACATATCTCGTCTACTACTCGTATATGTCAAGTGTAAGATAATTTGCATGTCGACTGCTGGACACAAAGTTATTTGTACGTTGATTTGTAATTCAAGCAAACAAATCAAGACATCTTGTATCTGTTCTTCATGCAACATTAATTACACAGCTCGTCCTGACTATGTGCCCATTACAACCTCTATTACGG